AATGTCTAAATAACAGAGCTGAGAAACTCACTAGTCACTGTAAGGACTTAAATAAGGAATTGAAACACATAAAAGAAGCGTTAATAATTAATAATTATCCCCATCATTTTATTCAGAAATTCACACGGACACATAAGAAGCAAAATAATAACACTAATACAAATACAAATAATAGTGACAACATAAGTAGAAAGGAAATCAACACCTCTATTGTGATACCATACAAGGAAGGAACATCAGAAACCATACGTAGGATTCTCAACAAGGTTGGAATTAGGGTGGCATTTAAACCAACAAACTCACTTAGAGGTAAGCTTTGTCGGCTAAAAGATCCGATAGAACCAATTAAGCAAAATAATATAATCTACCAAATTCCGTGTAATGACTGTGAAGTCAAATACATAGGTCAAACTAGCCGGTCGGGGTCAGTTAGATTAACAGAACATAGGAATTTAGCTAAACATAGAACGGCAGACCCCAATAAGATCAATAACCTAGAAAAACACTCAGCCATTGCATTACATTCATTAACACACAACCACACAATAGGGTGGGACAAAACCACTGTACTTAAGTCTAATATAGCTAGGTGGAGAGAGAGATTAATTACTGAATCTTTGTTCATCGAATCCACACCCAACACATGTAATAGGAATGACGCAACACCTATACCAGAGATATGGAAAACTTTACTACTAATCAAAAGACAAAAAAACAAAGAGAGATCAGGTGACAGGACTATAAAATCAGATGTCGAAAGAAGTGTGATTACATTGATATGATTATGAGCAATAATTTATGCTCGAAACGTAATCAATTAAATAATACTGTATCACTGTGCGCTTTATATCAAATAAACAAATCTAATATGGAACTACATTCTACCACAGTGCCCAAGTTTTTCACTTATATTAATGAAACTTATGGTCTTCCTGTTCGAAGGCTAATCAATAAACTCACACGACTTTCACAAACTGAAGCACGTTTCACAAATCATCGTATTTTCAATATTCGTTGCATGAAAAATCAAATTATCCCTAAATACCTTCGCATACGAATCCCAATATATACTGATAAAATCGAAAGGGCAATAGAACATGTCAGCAAACTATGTCTGAAAGAAGAAATTCACAGGATTATTAAGAAATTAAGTACCATTCGGAATAAAATTGAACAACTTAAATGTAAAATTATGAAGATAGTAAACTGCAGAGACTATGGATTTATAATAGAAACATCAGACAAAGCAAGATTAGCTACTCTCAAGAAATCTAGAAGCAATCAAATCAAAAAGTTCAATAAACTAATGCAAGAAAAATATGCTTCGGAAAACAATGAAATTACAAAGGAAACATCATCGAACATCGATAGAACAAAGTGGGTAGTCAATCTCTCCTCGAAAGCCTTAAGCTCAGCTGAGATGAAAGTACTTGAAAAAGGACTAAACTTCAACATAACAGTAGATCATCTAAAACCAGAAGATGTCATACCTAGCATAGAAGTAGCATTAAGCTCGGTGGATGTGACAACTGCTGAACAGGTTAGAGCGCAGTGTGCATTAGCACTTAAAAAACAAAAGAAGACACAGCGAAACTTAACGAAACTGGAAAATTCAGCTTTAAACAATCTACGAAAGGATAATAGTATAGTAATTGCTAAATCTGACAAAGGTAACTCAACAGTAGTTATGGACAAATCGGATTATCTTAAAAAATGGATGAACATATCCAAACAGGGCCATATGAAGAGATTAAGAAACCTATAGATACTGTCATGAATAAAATTAAGAAATCTGCAACAGATCTGATACGCCGACTGAAGCCATCTCTAGGTAAGTCCGAATGGTTTACTTTAATGCCAAAAACTAATAATCCTAGCAGAATTTACGGTACTATTAAGGTTCATAAAGCAGGTTATCCCATTAGGCCGATAGTTGACTTCCGGAACACACCAACATATGAGATATCAAAGTATTTAGCATCAGTATTACGTCCTGTTAGAGACCGTTCCAACTCTAGACTAGTAAATTCTTACGAGTTGAAACAAAAACTTAATGACCTGCACATAGAAGAGGATGAAAAAATGGTTAGTTTTGACGTAACAAGTCTTTATACTAAAATACCAATCAATATGGCACTGGAGGCAGTCAGAAATCAACTAGATACTGACTCACAACTTACTCAAAGAACCAAGGCATCGGTTGGTGAAATCATGTTAGGAGTGCAGTTATGCTTAACCTCGACAGTCTTCAAGTTTCAGGGAAAGATTTATAGACAAACAGAAGGAGTAGCAATGGGATCACCAATATCCCCTATAGTAGCAGATATATTTATGGATAGTTGGGAAGATATGGCTTTACGAACATATAATCCGACACCTAAGATATGGTGGCGATATGTAGATGACACATTTACAGTGTTGAAATCGGAACATATCGACAGTTTCTTGACACACATAAACTCAGTAGTTAACGCAATCCAATTCACTTACGAAGTAGAAAATGAACAAGGAGAATTACCTATGTTGGATTGCAGAATAAAACGAAGGATAGATGGTGGTTTAGATACTACCGTCTACAGAAAACCAACACATTCTAACAGATATCTAGACTTCAAGTCATCTCATCCAGTGTCAGTTAAAGCGGGTTTAGTCAAATGTCTAAATAACAGAGCTGAGAAACTCACTAGTCATTGTAAGGACTTAAATAAGGAATTGAAACACATAAAAGAAGCGTTAATAATTAATAATTATCCCCATCATTTTATTAAGAAATTCACACGGACGCATAAGAAGCAAAATAATAACACTAATACAAATACAAATAATAGTGACAACATAAGTAGAAAGGAAATCAACACCTCTATTGTGATACCATACAAGGAAGGAACATCAGAAACCATACGTAGGATTCTCAACAAGGTTGGAATTAGGGTGGCATTTAAACCAACAAACTCACTTAGAGGTAAGCTTTGTCGGCTAAAAGATCCGATAGAACCAATTAAGCAAAATAATATAATCTACCAAATTCCATGTAATGACTGTGAAGTCAAATACATAGGTCAAACTAGCCGGTCGGGGTCAGTTAGATTAACAGAACATAGGAATTTAGCTAAACATAGAACGGCAGACCCCAATAAGATCAATAACCTAGAAAAACACTCAGCCATTGCATTACATTCATTAACACACAACCACACAATAGGATGGGACAAAACCACTGTACTTAAGTCTAATATAGCTAGGTGGAGAGAGAGATTAATTACTGAATCTTTGTTCATCGAATCCACACCCAACACATGTAATAGGAATGACGCAACACCTATACCAGAGATATGGAAAACTTTACTACCAATCAAAAAACAAAAAAACAAAGAGAGATCAGGTGACAGGACTATAAAATCAGATGTCGAAAGAAGTGTGATTACATTGATATGATTATGAGCAATAATTTATGCTCGAAACGTAATCAATTAAATAATACTGTATCACTGTGCGCTTTATATCAAATAAACAAATCTAATATGGAACTACATTCTACCACAGTGCCCATGTTTTTCACGTGGATGATAATATTCAGAGTTTTTTTGCTCTGTCTATCGTCTTCTTACGTTTAATAGTGAATTATTTGTTCTGTTTTACCAATTTTCATATGTGGTCAAATTGTTCGAAATGCTTAGAGCTAATATATCAAAGCAAGTTTCGGATGATCTTCGTCACATTATTTCAGTGCCAAAATTTCTTGGGAAGACTATTTGCTCTGAACTTAATTGATAAATCTTTTAATTCTTATCTCTCAACTTTCGCAGTTTCAGTTTAGCAACATTTCATCAAACTGTTTTTATTAGGAAAACATTTTATCTATCGCAGTACTTAAACTATCCTAGATATTAGTCAACCAATGAAAAACTTTGAATGGAAAAAGGAGAGATGATAAAATACAGAACTGTTACTTACTTTTCATTGATGTTGCTTAAGAGTTCTCATCTGATCTTTTGGTACACAAGGTTGTTGAGGAGTCTGGAATAATCTGACTAGATGGAAACCGTACATGCTAATGGTTAAACTTTTCAATCATGTTGGGTGTTCTAAAGACTGTGTAGACAGCTGAATGCTTTATAGATAAACTTATTGGTAAATGATCTAATTTGAGTTTATTTGGCTGAAGTAAACAATAGTTAGATACGGAATTAAACAGTATATGTGTAGTCTAAATTTACTACTCATCTATAATCAAGAGTGTTAATGGTCAGGCAAAGCTGGTTTCTCACATTCTCAACATGGAGAGCTAATTGTATCCGTTTCCAGTTAAGATAAGAAAGAAGCTGATAAAGCGGATTGTGTATAGGGATCATGACTGAAGTTAACTGAATACCTGAGCTCAAAAAAATGCCTGTTTGGCGTTTCATTGACTGAGTTGTGTGACCCGACTATTAACCAGTCTACCAACGTGACTCATATAATATTCGACTACACCAGATACACGGCTGACTGATATGCCTAATGCCAGTTGTTTAACCGAGTCTTCTTGTTACCGTCCTAAATGATTCTAATAGGAGAAAGAAATTAAACCAGAAACTTCTTAATTTAGGCCGTTTAAAATAGACAGACTGATTCTTTACTTTATCAGTAGAATAAAGTTATCAATAATCAAGGGGACATCGACATCTGGATAGTGCATAAGTTGTTATGAGGAACAGCTCATAACTTTACAGTTTCTGATCTTAATCTTGTTATAGCCATCTAGATTACTTTCCAACTCCATCTCCATTCATGCTAACATCAGTGTGTTAACCAAAGATTTCTAAGATACCCTTGTTAACAGGTTATTCTCCGCAGAAATACACTCTAATCTTCATCATTAAAAAGATTTTTAGCCAATAATGACCAAATAAACCTAATCTATCAGAGGTTTTTTTGAACAAACGATGGAATATTTTGCACAGGTAACTGATTTCCAGCTGATACGATGTCTTACTTTCTAATATTTTATATTTCTGTAGGACTGTAAAACCTCTTATTTTAAGAAAGTCGAATTCTGTCAGCACCGATACAATAGACATGGATATAGAAGATCATTTAAGGTGTAAAAGTCTAGAAAAGGAAAACACGATTCTTGAACAACAAAAAGATGTGAGTTCAGTCACTACTTCTCATATATTTAGCATCATTTTATTGAATATCTCTGATAAATAAACCAGACAAAGTTTAACTTCATACCTTTTGCTAACAATAGTGATTGACATTAGTTACAAATCCAATGAAAGCCAGGCCGCAATAAGAAAAATTTCGGTACATTTCTCAATTCCTTCAAAAAACTTCATTTAACCTTAATACTAATTCTAACATTAAATATTCAGTTGTCGGTTCAAGTACTTGTAACTACATCCTGTTGAATCAACTGACTTCAGGGTGTAGTTGGATCCCTGGTGACTATAATAAGTGACACATCTTATTCTGATTTACTCAATGAATAGTAACAGGAAAGCCCAAGGAAGTTGAACTTTTAATCCTTATTTTCTATAGGCTCTATTTGTACACTGTTGATTATTCCAAGATAAGATGAAAGCAACCACTCTCCAATCTGTGGTATTCACTGGTTTCCTGGCGATACAAAACACATTTGTAGGTTATTCTTCTACACTATGGTGAAATAACATTTTAGTCTAAGGAAAGAAAGTTAAATTCCCATAAGTCAGACTTTACTAGTGGTAATCTCCTAATCAAGGTTCTACAATAAATAGAAATATATCGGCTGTTTTAACTTCAATTTTTGTTCGAAGTCATAATCCAATCATCGAAACTTCTCAACAATATGCTTGTGAATACAAGGCATAGTTCTTCTTTATTATCATTAATGTTGTCTGCTTTCCATTCTCCGTCAAATTAGGCTTTTGCTCACAAAATCTACTTTGCTAAAAGCTAAGCACTCTTGAAATATAGACGGCTTATTCAAGCAAAAATCAGCCAAGCTAATTATTGTATTTCGTTTTTTTAAGCTATAACTCATCTTTGTTAGCTTTTATGATTTTGTTTCATATAAATGCCATAGTTTTACAAACAGTTTATATAGTTCGCAGCTAGAATGCAGGGGAAAGTTATCAGCGTTCAATTGAATAAAGATAACACTCTCAATTCCATAACTCTTTGTTGTAAGCTTTTGATAAAATTTGAAATAAACTAGTGTTCTTCATAAAAGCTGTCGACAGAATATAAAATGAAAAGGTAAAAGTGTTTTATCCTCAAATAGAAGTTCATGAAAAACCTCTTCGTTTTAGTTGTGTAGTCAAATAGTCTAAAGTTACCTGTCAACAAAAGCTACCAAGATCCTACTCTCTAACGACCATCTGTCTGATCAATAACAAAACAGAATATCGTCATATTCTTAAAGCATGTCACCAATTCACTTGATAGTTTGTAAGTGAAATAATCAATCTGTATTTGACTTGCTTCCATGTTACAACGATAATAATGAATCAAGGTTGAGTTGACGAACAGACGTGGCACTTCTTATCTTATTAAAAAGCCTTGGGTTTGTCATATTTTACTGATCTTCAAAATGAGTTATTGCTAGCCTGCTTCAATATTTTAATTATTTCTAATAAAATTCCAAACATTTTTTTTCTACTGACTGTAAAAATATATAGATAGCTGAAGTGAAAACCTTAGTGTTTTATCTCAGCGAACAATTAATGCTGGCAAAATGTATAGATTATAGTGAAACGTTCAATGCAACAAAAGATGAATCACATCAACAACATCAACGGCGACGTCAGCAGGAGCAGGAACAGTTGTTGCAGCAAGATCAGCAGCAACAACCACAACAGCAGCTACAGAGGGCAGAACATCATCTAGAACAGTCACAAAAACACCAACAACAGCCAATCACAAATGAAATTCCAAGTCGAGAATCACATCAAGATAATATTAGCCACAAAACGTTCAGTGATAAAGTAACAGAAGTTTTCCTTTTTCAAATTTCTAAGTAATATGTGTAATAGTGTAATTTAGTGATGAATATGAACAGTCCCAGAACTCATTACCATGATATGGGAAGTGTTTTCATACATTGTGCATGATATAGATGTTTCGGATGTAAGAGCAAACGCTACAATCTAGCCACTTAAAATCCAAACGATTGTGTTTAGTCAGGCAGATAGTTTTTAAAAAACTAGACTTTTACCGCTCCTATCGGTTACTATTGTTTACTTAGAAACAGTTTGTTGATAGCAAACTGATATTTTTGTGAAACTAATTTGTCATGTTACTTGCATATCCATACACAGAATACGAAAGGCTTTTTAGAATAAACTTTTGGAAATAGAGATGATGGGTTCTGACAGGCGGTGAAACCCAGGAGGTGCTTTTAATATAGTTTAGGGCCTGTCAAATGATGACCTTGTTTCTACTAGGACTGAAATCCATGGAGTCACTAGGTTAAAATAGCCACTCCTTTAGGGACAGACTTACGTCTCTCTGAGAACAACATCACTCACTTGGACGCTGACTCAACCACTTAATCAGTCCCAAGTAGGCAGGTGAAGCAGAACAGGCTGCAGGTAGGAGAAACAGAGACCTGACAACATTGTATCAAATAACCAAATTAATATGTTTTATAGAAGAGATCAACGCAGATGTCACCAATAAGAGATGGTGAAGGAAACTTAGTTACCAAAAGAAGGAAAAATGAAAACGATCGGCTGACCACTTCAAAAAGCTCTTGAATCGACCACCATCTGCACTTCGTCCAGAAATACCACCAACAACCCAGACACAGAACTACCAGTGAACACAAGCCATTCGACAAAAGTCGAAGTGCTGAATGCCATAAAGCTACTGAAATGCGAGAAAGCAGCAGGACCAGATGGGATACTGCCAGTAGCACTGAGAACAGATGCAACGACAACAGCAGACATGCTCACACCTCTATTACAGAAGGTGTGGAATGAAGGAAAGTTACCTGCAGATTGGAAGCCACGCTAACTTGTCAAAATTCCAAAGAGAGGCACCCGAAGTCTTTGCGAGAACTACCAAGGAATCATGCTCCACCCGTGTCCACCCAAGCCATATATTATGCTGCATCATCCTGGAGAGATGAAACAAAGCTCTGGACTCAAAGTTACAACCGGAACAGACTGGCTGCATTCACGAAGTACAAATCATGTGTAGACCGAATTGCAACGCTACGCGACACCATCATAGAACAGAGTATGGAATGGTAGTCAACTCAACTCAACCTCAACTTCATCCACTTTGAGAAGGCCTTTGACAGCGTCGACCAAGAAGTAATTTGCAACTGCTTCAACACTACGCAGTATCACAAACTCTTATCAAACACATTCAACAACTACATGCAGATGTCACATGCCAAGTGATTCACAATGAGAAGCTCAGTGATGCCTCTGAAGTGAAGACAGAAGGGAGAAAGACAAGGCTGTCCACCATCACCATTGATATTCCTGATTGTAGTGGACAGGATCATGCAATAAACAGTGGGGATCGAGTTGAGGGGGATACGCTCGACCGGGAAAAATATCCGTGAAGATTTGGATTTCGCCGATGATAATTTATATCTGATGTCACACTGCCTTGAAGAATTACAGGCGAAAAGTAACAAGTTGACAGAAGAGACAGGACAGTGAAGATGGGACTTCAAGTGAACACAGAGAGGACAGAGGTGATGAAGATACCCAACCAACACCACCACCACCAACAACAGTAAGCTCTAATCACCGTCAACGAGAGAAACGTGTAGAAAGTAGTCTCTTTCACATATCTTATCAGCACTATTTCAACTACAGGAGGCACAGGCACAGACGAAGACGTCAAAGCCAGCCAGGATCGGAAATACAGTAAGACAGGCGTTCATTATCGTGAAACCAGTGTGGAGATCTTCTGCACTCCACTCAGCATAAAGCGAGAGCAACATCCGGATTTTCAACAAAAATCCAGTCAAGTCAGTGCTTCAATGTGATGGTTGAGAGATTCGTTGCGTTACGAAAGACATTTCCAACAAGTTACAGACATCAATCAACAACTGCCTACTGCATAGCCTCGTTACTGAAGATCAGATGGCCAAAATAATACGATTAAGCAACAAGGAACTCTGGTTAACGAGGAACCAAACAAGAAGCTATCGGTCAACAAATATGCAGTGGAAGTAAGTGGAGATGGATTGGGTATGCACTGAGAAGACCGACTGGGGACATCACGCGTCAGGCCCTTGAGTAGAACATCGATCGGAAGTGACTAGTTGGGCGTCTGAGGTGAGGGTGACATGGAGTAGGTTGTGTGAGGAAGGAATGAGAGCTTGTGGGTAGTCGTGTAGCCCGGTTCATGAGATTGCAGAGAAGTGCAGAGTGGAATGGAGACGTGCTACTGAAGCTTTATGTTCTGCTATGAACCCAAGGGAAAAATAATAATAATAATGAGAGGAACCGTGCATACTGGATTCCACGTTAAGCTACTATTTATCATTTTTCTGGGGTCTAAATTAAACGTCATTATAGGTCGTACATGTAGAAGCCTACGTGCTAGTAAATGCCTATGAAATTCGTCCAGTTGACCACTGTAAAATACTAGCAGATATATAATTATTTAGGACTACATTTCTTGATAAACTAAAGTTGTAATAGTAACTTTCTATTATTCACCAGTCATAGTGTAACCTCACAAAGTTGTTGTCCATCTTCATAATCATCTGGACACCCTTTTTACTGGAAGTAACTCAAATAAGATGCATCGAAATGTTCAACTAGATTCATTTATGACTATAAAGATCACCAGAAGGCTCTCCTTTAACTTCACTCATTATCCATCCGTATTCAGATTAGATTACCAAACCAACAGTATCACACACAATACAACCAATCATGGAAAGAATTAGTAAAATGTATTCTATCCATGAATGTACTTTTTTATGGTTCCCTTTGTCTTAAAATGTAGGGAAACATTTGTAACTAACAATACAGCTTCTTAGTCTCAGCTGTACTTTGAGCCTGGTTTTCTTCGTTGTCGTATTTAGTATTTTTATCCTGAAATATCTAAAACAGGGGCATTTCGATAGAGTAATTGTATTTGTATTTGGTCACTCCATCTTATTTTCATTTGACTAGTCAGAATGAAGCTTTGTGGGTATAAGCAGAATGTAAAGTAGTGAAGTTGTTAGGTATCAAAGCTCGTACTTTGCCAGTTTATTTCATCCATTTGTGATGCTGTGAATATTCACGGAAACGTTGTACAATCAAATTTTCGGCTTAAAGAAAATACTTATCGAAGTAATCCTACATCTTACCGTAGCCTCAGTGCACTGAAAACGTGCCTATATGGAGTTTCATTTCCTTACACTATTTCAAAGCAATTTTGTCAACTTACACTCAGTAGTTAGTTTCAGTTCAAGAAACATCTTAACTGTTTCTGTATAACAGAAAATAATTCATTCCACCAACGAAAGTATATTGGGAACCGGTACATGAAATCAGATTTGTGAAGTGCTATAGAAAATTGTAATAATATAAATGTTTAATTTCTATTTCAGCTAGAGTTAAACCATCCATATTTCTTGATAAAAATATGAACCTGACCTGGAAAGTGAAACTGTTCGACGGCATTTATGGTCGCAAAAACAGATTTTGGCTTTGATTGTTATTTGATCTCTGCTACAGAATGCTAGGTTCAAAACTTTTGGTAAAGCATTGCCAAGTACTAAAATGAATAACCTTGAAGTATATCACCATTTGAACGTGTGTTGTTGAACATTGAATGACCATGGTATATTCAAAAGAAACGATGAGATGTACTGCATCGCTAATTATTGTTTATTTGAAGGTCAAGGTCATGTATTGCTATAAAGACAACTGAAAACTTAGCAGCTAGTCAGTCTGTGTCTGAAGTGGTGGTGATTCTGTTGTTGTAATCAACTGACATGAAAAGGCTAAAAAATAAAGTTCTACACACTTTTTTCTTGCATACTTTAGCAGTTTAATTAGATTGTCTGTCTGTTTTTAGGCGACTTCTTGGTACTTCGAAGTATGTTTAACACCAGCATCCAGCGCTTTGATTTTTGTTAGTTGTTAGAAAATTATTCTGAAATTTTCTTCCATTCTTAGTACACGGAAACTAGTGAGCCACTCTCTCTAAATACCATTCCATCCACAATCGGTACGCAAGATATTCACAGACCAAAAAACCTTGATGCAACTTTAGTTACATTGGATAATACATGGCTAGTGTCTTGGAGTAATCCAGAGTCAGTAGATTCAAATGAAACGGTATTTTCTTCAATTGTCGGATATGTGGTAAGTTGTTCAGCAATAATCTTGTTCAGAGTTGAATATTATTTGATTGTTGAGACAAATATTTGCTATTCTAAAGTCAGTTGACGAAGAAGTACTGTTAAACTCTATCTGATAACAATCACGAAAGTCTAAAATTTGGGTAAAACACAAACTAGAAATTCACCTTTGTAGGCGGAAGACACCACATCTCAATTGCTAAACCAAAATGAACACTTTTATGAGCACACAGAAGTTAGGAATCAAAACTGAATCATCATCATAAACTTACGTCGCACAAAATGCTTCCATTTCAGGATTCAAAAACCTGAACCAACAAATAGAATAGTAATACAACTAATCCCTACAAGTCAAAGAATATCTTCAGAATGTTTTCTAGAAAAACAGTTACTAACACGATTTTCTTTAAATCGTGTTCCTTCCGAAGTTATTAAAAAAATAACTCATCATCACTGAAAATTCTATAGAACCACCTTGCAACTATATGTGAAAAATGTTTTGAAGTAATCACTTGGACCCGCAAAAACCAAAACAGTAGTTTTACTCGATGTAGTGAAATTTGAAACATGTAAGAGAAAAAAAAGACAGAGCTAGAATAGCTTATAAAATAGCTTTATAAAATTTAAACAACATCAAAGTCTTCACAAGGCAGAGACTTCTTTTCATTGAATCGCTGGACATTAACTTACCGCAGAATGATACGAAACACAATGTTTGCTGTTAGTACAAACGGAGATTTGTAAGTTTGAATTACATTTGCAGAATATGCGTATGTCAACAAAAAAGAATTCCTAGAAGACGCTTAGATATATGGAGCGTAGATCCACCAGTGACAAAAGGGATATACTTATACATCAATGATCAAAAACGTTCGACAGTCAGTTGATTAGATAAGAAATTTAGTAATCTTGTAATAAGCATTTATAATGATGACAAATTCAGCACCTATACATTCCTGAAAGATGATTTCCACATGAATTGGGCAAAGTTCAATATGGACAAGAATCTGATAAACTTAAATCTCAGCTTCCCAGTTTAGAAGAAAAAAAATTTAAAACAGAACAATTTGACTGATATGAAGAGATTTCAGGCAGTTATAAAAATAGCCCTAAGTGTTGTTATTTGGTAGAACTTGTTCCCTTACCTAATGTTGTATGAATTAGATTTGCTTACTCATAAGTGATATTTACCAATACTCTATTTCGCAGATTAATTATTTCTTGTAAATATCCAAAACATACTGATTTCACTGAAAGAGATGAGAAAAGGCAGTCATGCAGTTGACGGACTTCTACATAATTCACTTTGTAGTGTTTAATGTCCTAGCTTTTTCTATATTAGTTTATCTATTGGATATATTACACTATGAAACTGTAGTCTTAACTGAATGACGTTACCAACAGAATTCATTATTTATATAGAATGCTGTTTTAGTGTGTGAACTATCTAGGTAACAAACTAACATGAAATTACGTATCACTAAAATTCCCAAGTTCTTCTCTTACATTACGAGGCCTACAGTTTTGATTGAAATGTTATTCTCTATCTTTACCTTCCTAGATATCAGTAAACGGTATAGAAGTGAAGCGGATACCAAGTGTAAATCTAAATAAAGCAATTATTAATTTATCAGAATCCGTCAGATATCCGGTAACATTACAGGTTCAATCTATAGATGAAAATAACTACCTATCGAGGCCAGCATTGATAACATTGAATGCGTAATCTTTTGTTTTACTTTTCCATTCTAAGAATTCATTTTAGTTGTAAAAGTAGATGACAGTGATCAGTGTTTTAAATTTCAAAAAATTCCATTTTGAAGTTATTACAGAATTCTTTAATAATTCTTAACAGTCTTATTGCTTGTATTATACCGTTGTTGACTGGACCAAATTGATCGGTCTCCATTGAGATATGGGATCCTTTGTGGATGCCTGGATATACCTGAGTTCTGGTTATAGTAAAGATGGACAGTGGGAAGCAGTGGAATCCAGGATGCACATTTCGTTCTATTTGGGACTCGTCAGCTGAATGAACCTGCCTCGGTGGTGTAGTGGCTAACGCTGTGGTGTATGAAGTGATCGCTCCTGAGTTTGGGTTCCGGTAGGAAGAATATCACTCACTGGGAGGCAACTTCATCCGGCTGACGAACCTCTAATAGGACGAAATGAACATCCTGTATTCCACTGCTAGCCACTATTCATCGTTACTATATAATTAAGAACATAGGCAATATCGAGGCATCTACACAGGAGCCCATATGCCAGTAGAGACTGATGGATTCCGTTCAGCCAACGATGGTATAATACAAGCAATAAGACTAAAACTATGCCCGTTGCACAAGAGGTAGCTATCGTTGCTCGGTGATGTAGTGACTAACGCACTGGTATTCGAAGCGATCGCTCCGGAGTCCGCTTTCCCAATGGGAACAACATCACTCAATGGGAGGCAGGTACATCCAGCTTATAAATCCCAAACAGGAACAAATTCTGAACAGTCTATGGAACATTGTAACTATCTTTTATTCGCATATGTTATCATGAACAAAGGTATATATATATATGCATATATATAGATATTGTTATCAGTAATAATAATCATACAAATGTAATATGTTCTTTCATCGTATGATTATCGTACCATTTGGTAAGTATAAACAAAGTAATTACAAAAGAATCTATAGAATAAAATGATGTCATTTTATTCCACTGAGATTCATAAGTTAAACTCATGAGTAATTAGTTTCAGTTTTCGTATGCATAATATACATTAAAAGAGTAGAAATAAAGAAAAAGACTGCGTTAACTGCAAAGGAGTGACCCAATAATATACAAGGAAATAAGAATTCTATATGTTAGAGAAGATAAATAACAATTCATATATGATAAAACCGATAATTCTAGATCTTGAAATCATGATGTAACCATAGTAGCATCGAATTACAAAGGTATAACAATATTGTTTTCTGCCTATTTTCATATGTAAAGGTTAACTAACTACATTAGCTTCAGAAAAGTATAGTAAACTTGTCAGCTTTAGTTTCTCTGTTGCTTTATAGGATTCAGAGTTGTCTGTTTGGTATCAAGTTTCCGTCAGTGTCTAGCAGTTATTATTTTGAGACATAATCACACAATCGACCGGTTAACCTTCTATTAGCTCATTTTAAGTACTTTTTTCCACCAATATGTGTTAACTGGTGAATATATTTAGAAGCGACAAGAGTATGCCATCTGCTTACTTTAGGGTGACCGAGTGAGTATGCTGTAATGCAAGCTGGTGCATATATATATATATATATATATATATATATATATTTGTATATATATTACCTGGTAGAATACTAATAATATCAGAGCAAAACTAGTGCACTGTAACCGAATGTAATTCCATTTTTTTTGTTAGATTTATCACAGTGGAACGGTAATGTTTACTGGATTACGTTTCAGACATAATTTATACCCCATAATTATATCAAGATAACTACATTAACTTGTGTTATCCTTTGTGCTTCGATTTAAAAACATACATATGTAGTTTCTTCATGTATATAAATTCAGTGGTCAGCACAATCCAATTTAACAATGAATTAGAAAATAGTGAAGGAGAATTAGCGATATTGGATTGCAGAGCAAAACGGAGACAAGCTGGGAGTTTAGAGATTAGTGTTTACAGAAAACTTTCATATTCATATCGTTACTTAGGCATCAATTCGTCCCACTTTATGAGTTAAAGTTGGCTTGGTAAATTTCTAAGCACCAAGGCCAAAATATTTACTAGCAAGACAGAAAATCTATGATAAAAAAGGATACAACAAAGACACCTTACCCATCAACAGATAACCTCCTAAATTAATTGATAAGCTCTTTAAGAACCATAAAAAATAGATAACTAATATTAGTAAAACAGGCGTGGATGGTAGTAACAATAATGTTAAAAATAAACAAGCAGTACTGTAAAGAGAATATTCAAAGCTTCTGCAATATAAAGAAGGCACCTCAGAGACACTATTTATCACTCTCAGTGAGGCTGGCTAGGATTAGAGTGGGATTTAAGCCCACAAGCTCACTTAGAATCCACCTTAGTAGGTTGCAAGATCCTACTGATCCACCTAAGCAGAATAATTTCGTGTGTCATATCCCATTCAACGGTTACGAAGTCAAATATCTAGGTCAAAAAGGTTGACCAGGCTCAGTTAAGCTATCCCAGCACAAAGTTCTAGCTAGGTAAAAAAAGGTAGATTCTAGAAAGATAAAGAATTTAGATAAAGACTCAGCCACAGCTAAGCATGCAATCACATACAACCAGGCAATAGGATTGGTGCGACAGGGTTAAAATCGCTAAAACTAACATAGCAGAGTGGAAGAAGAGGTTGGTAACTGAATATTTGTTCGTCTAATCAATACCGAAAGGTTGCAGCAGGAGTGAATCAACACCTGTTCCCGATATATGGAAAATCTTACTGCCCATACCACAAAGGAAGCGATGAAATTAGGGTGTTTCAAAGTTGTGTAGTTATATCGATATGGCTATGGAAAAAAAATTATGTTCGAATCGTAATCCGATGACGAATACTGTCCAACTGTGTGATAAATCTGAGAAATCAATTGAAGTAGTAAAATACTACCTTGAAAGTATTCGATGCTCATAAACTTCTTAATTGAGTAGCGGCCTAGTGACCAATAGTGAAATGCTTCGAGAAGAAGGGTTAACCAGGTTAGGTTTGAGGACAAATTTTTCCGATAGCCTTGGATATTGGTCACAGTATATTAAAAATTGAACGTAGCAGGAAAATGTGATCGAATAAATTCTGACCCAATGGCTCAACAGTAATGCGCTCCTAGAGAGTTTTAACTGTAGTCAGTGAGTGTGATATGTTTAGAAGTCCCCTTTCTAGCCCGAATCTGCTGTTCAATGCTACCATGTTTCCTACGGTTCTTCAAATAATTTCTGTTTGAGATAAGCACCACCTTGAAATTCGTTTCAAACTGCTTTGAGTAAATTTGTCAAAGGAATGAATTGATGCTCTATTATTTGTAATGCAATACTACCAGTAGTGGCATAAATCTTGATTAGTTTTGTCGATAGTTAAAAGTTTGTCTTACATTGCTATGTGAGAAAAATTAAACAACAAAGTTTTATTCGGTAACCAAAATGCTTTGAATTTATATTTTGCTTCAAACATGCAGTGAATTTTGCCAATAACATTCTCAATCATAGAACAACGATTGATTCTTATTTTGGTCCAAAGTTGAAGGTGCTAGCGATAAACTTGCGATGTGAATATTGTCTCATGTAGACTGCATTTATTATGTGTGAAACTATCTAACCATTGACTGAGTTACAGTTATACAATATATTTTTGGATTATTTTGTAATTTTACAGTAGTTTAATAACTGGTTCAACTGAACTTCACTATTGGCGTGCATAACTACTAATCAGATCCAAAGCAGCTTGGACTATACTAAGTGCTCTTATTCTGCATAGACAGAACTTCATTGGATAAAAATGACTCAGACAATCACACAGAATACCTACAGGTGAAATACATTTTCACAAATCTCCAATAATAAAATATTTTTAGGTGGTTGGTAGATAAAGTTTAGTGATATTACTAATTACTTAAGACAAAAGAATGAGAATAGAGGTTGGGTATTTGAAGATCAAAGAGGAAAGTTCAGTAGCGCGGAGCCTAACACAAAAGTCCATTACATGATCATATCGCACTTTATAGCGGCTGCAAGAAACAGGGGATCCTCTCTTATTCTTAATAAAGTCCTTTAACACATCGCTGCTTTTGTATTGTTTAATTTTGCAGATGGGGAATATTCTTTACAGTTTTCAAATAAATGCTGAAAAACTTTATTTTCCTAGGTTAAATACTATAAAATTAATCATTAATTGATATTCTGAGATCCTATTCCTACTATCCAGATAAGTGAAGTAGGATCAGCCCTGGTGGCTCAGTGGCCGATGAAATCTCTGCACGAATACGAAAGGTTCGGCTGGCTTTTGCCAACTCAGGCAACCTTCGGCCCCACCGTGATATTTTATTGTCTATCAAGGGTCGCGTGTACTGCACAGCAGTCAGGTCTGTTCTACTCTGTGGCTGTGAAACATGGCAACTGAATATGAAAGACAAGAGAAGGCTTAAAGCGTTTGACCACCGTTGTCTTCGGAGTATAAGCCGTATTCCGTGGTGTCATCATGTGAGTAACGCAGACGCCAGGTATAGAGTTTTAGGAAGAAGAGGTAAGTCAGTTGACGAGGTTATGAACCTTCGTCGATTCAGATTGATGGGGCACGTATTACGTATACCTAGTCGCCGTCTATCTTGTCACACAATACTGGCCAAAGTAGGTTCAGGTTGGAAGAAGGTTGGAGAGGCCAGACTAAAACATAGCATCAATGTATGAAGTGTTTGACTGTTCGTTTGAGCCATGTGGGGCGATGCAGACTGGGTGTTTGGGGTCTGCGGGACAGGATGAACCAGTGGTTGGAGACTCTAGGTGATATGGCTCAGAATCGAAGTCAGTGGAGCAGATGTATACACACATTATCCTCATCTTAACGACGCTATACCGGATCTCATCATTTTGTCATCCTTCCTTCCTCTCTTTTCGCACTTTATATTTCTTTTGACTGAATTTTCTTATCTTCCTCTTTTACTTCACTACCTATACACTTGATGGTGTGATATAATCTGTGTCAACTCGGACCGTTACGC